TGATAAAGGTTGTCGTGATACCGATAGCAGATAGTATGAACATAACTGCATTTATTCTGAAAGGAGAAACTTTTGCTTGTGAAACAATCTTAATAGAGAGAATGCAAGAGTGGCAAATAGTATTTACTCACTTGAAGAATAGAATAGAATATTTCTTAGCTTTTGCAATTTCCACCTCAATTATGTCCTGAATAATTTTATTGTCGTCAATTTGCATGTGCAAAGCTTCGATCCAGTCAACAATATATTGAAAGTCATGTTGAAAGACAAATCCACCCAAGTTCTTGGTAATAATTTGACCAACACCAGAAATAATGAGTGTTGTGTAAACTGTTGTTACATTGTCACTGTCTTCGTCACCAGAAATAATCTTATTCAGCTTCAATGACGCACCAATAGGTAAATACATTATTGTAATTGCAGAGAAGAAGAAAAAAAAATTGTAGTATCGCGAATCACCATGAAAAGATCTCATGGTTCTCGAAGTCAAGCAAAATTTGAAGATTTTAAAGAACTGATGAAAATTCAACTCTGTATCACTCATTCTCAACCACTTTGTATAGTTTTTCAAGTAAATTTTACGTCTTCACAGTGTGCAAATCCACTCCGAAATGTGAGCTGCATTCTGCCAAATGTGCTTTTATGTTATCAGCAAAAAATGAGGTGATGCGTCAGTTGGTTTTTCTCTAGAGAAAAGACACATGCATGCTTTGGAAGAGGACTTTGAGGCATAATTATACGTTAAAAAGCATGGTTTGAAAGAACCTTTTGATTTAGAATTAATCACCAGATCGATTCCTTCTCCTTTGAGTGCAGCCTGTTAATTTTCTCACTAATGTATACAGCCATGGAGGTAATTATAGTATCAAGGATATGTAGGTGCACCATGAAATGATAGATAGATAGAGAACAAGCCTGGCTTTTTGAAGTTTTTCGCCCAATTTTGTGGACAACTAAATTCATAAGCTTTTTCTCGCTTTTGAGGTCCTGAAATCCCTGATGGAAACGCTCTTGTGTGAATGCATGCAGAAGTTATTCAATTCAGTCTCTATATTCCTTGCCTGATAACCCTATCATTTGGAGTTTTGCATGAATACGTGACGCATTTGCAACTTGCATACCCAAGTTTTCCGACGCATCCCTGATGACATTGCGCCTGTGGCATGAGGGGAAAAACACTCCGGCAAGCGCTGAGAACAAGAAAGGGGCGTTCATGATTGGCAAAAGCATCGAGTTGGCGATTGAATGCAAATTTCTCTGTGGGGAAAGCAGAAGAAGGCAGGAGGAAGTGTGGAATGAGGAGTGTCAGTGTCTCTCTTTTGCACCCTTCTTTGTTTATGGTCCTGTGTGTCATCCTTAAGTTTCGCTTGGCTCTCCACGTTATTTATTATTCTCGTGGTTTCCGTCAGTTTTTGGCTCCACGACTCGCCACCCTGGCACTCGGATAACTTATACTGCACTTGCTCCTCATGAGCTCTCCTTCCAGAGCCCCTCACACTGCCGAACATTGCGCGATGGCAGAAAATCCTACAACATTGTTACACATTTTCACTCTCTGGGCCGCTTTTTTCCATGCTCCTGCAGATTTTCCTGCAATTTGTTATTTTCACCATTCACTGAATCAATTTCTCATCATCCCCAATGCACATAGCGGCATTTTTCGACGCGAGATTTTCCACATAATATCCCCCCGGGGGGAGGGGGATGAAATTCACGGAGAGTTGGGAATGATTTGAAAAGTGCGAAACTTTTTCAATAAAACCCCACACTGTTTGTGCGAATAAACAAATCCATTATGGTTGAACTCTTTTTTCACCCCCCCAACTCCGCGTGTCGAGCGACATGGGTGAATTTGAGAGCTTTCAGCGAAAGGGTTGAGGGGTTGAGGTGGTGGCAAAAAATTATAAATGATTCATATCTTCCTGTCAAATGGATATTTGAGCTCCTCGGTTTGTACGTGTATTTATGATGTTATTTTCACTCCTTCAATTTTTGCCAACTTTTGTAATCCACCCCCACGGATGAAAAAGATATAAATGACTCCGTGTCGCATGAGATGGAAAAAGAAACTGTGTTTGTTTCCAAGACAAACGATTTTTAGTGAAATGAAGAGTTAGAGAGAGTATTTTCCGAAGGGTCAGAACAATTCATTTTCACTCCGTCTTTCGGGGGTGAGCGGCGCATTTTCCTTACAAGGTGACACATAAATTTGTCTGCGGGTAATTTTCCATTTCAATCCAAGGCTGGATTTCCCCTTTTTCTCGATGTCACTGCAATTATACTGGCAAAGTTTGCGAACAATTAGCCCGCGGCTAGGAAAGCAATTAAACCGCCCAGACAGAGAGCCTAAATGTTTGTGCAAGCAGAAAAAAGCCGCATGGACAACTTTATAGTCCACGGAAATTGCATAGACATTCTCTGACCATGAACACTGCCAGACTCAAGTAAACTCCCATCAACACCCATCAATATTTGCACAGTGAAATGAACTTTCCTCGATTCTGAAAAGGGGTTTTTGCGGAGCAACTCAAGACGCAATTTTCAGTGAGTATCAATTAATTAGGATAATTTTGCTGGGTGAGTTGTGAAGTATGTTACGCATCAAAGACGCCAAATGAATGAAACAGTCGCATTAACTTTTCACCCCCCATCATTTTCTTTGACTCGCAGCTCTTGTGCATCCTCATGGAAATGTTACTTGGAGTTGAGTGGGAAAGGACTAAGACATTGAATGACTTTCACTTGAATCTTGATACAATCATTCGTACTAGACGTGCTTTTGATATATCAAAAGGGACTGTCTCTGATAGAAATTGTTGAAACAGAAACTCGTATTTCACTTTGCAGAAATTTTAATTAAGAAAAATCACAAATATATATGCTTCATTATAACAGCACGCTTGAGTAGTAGAATTGATTGCATATTAAGAAAATTGCACATGAATGACAACTGTTTATTCCACATATTTACGATGAAGATTCATTTTTCACCGCCAAATAAACGTCCTAAAAGCGATTACAGACTTGCTGATGATCCTCGAATCGGCGCGAACTCGGATCAATCCTCTGTGGATGAGCTTGGAGTGTGTAAAGGTCAGATGAGCGATAATTCGTGGTTAATCTGCACTTTTACACACTCAAAATATGGATTAGCCATGATTCGTGGCTGAACTGGCGCTAAAAACACTCAGGAATTATTCTTCTTTGTCGACACTAGCGACAATTTTCCTTCATTGATCTGTTCAGCTGTCAGTTAATTTGCATACTTCAAAAGAGTGAAATTTTACATTAAAATTGCGAAAATTGATGTTAATAATCCAGGAAATCTTTCGCAAGAGATTCGCCATTTTGTCTTTCCTGAGTCGTGCAATGAAAGCCAAAATATCGGCTGTACCTTCGATATATCGAGGGATTATTCGTGTTTTCTGGCCAAGCGAATTGTCAGTCGTTCACACTCGCGCTCTCGCTGAACCTCCCGTGGATCATCAGCAAGTCTGTAATCAGCTTTAAAGCTCACCTGTTACGAATTGTGACCTGCGAGTGTTGCCATCGAGAATAATTTTTCGCACTCTGCACGCATTGGTGATGAATGTGACATTAAATCCCCAAAGGCTAAAGAGTCCTTGCAGTAGATTTATCATCTGTCCAGAGCCTTGCATCGCTTTCATTTTACAATCTCATCCATTTTCGGTGGTGTTTTAGACGTGAAGCGAGGCAAAAAACAAAAAAAAAAAAAATGCAATTTCGCACATTAAATATAATATTTATTCTTGTTTCTTCCAAGTATATACCCTTATGTTTTAAGATGTATTACAGTCGCTATACTTTTTATCCTTTCATATTATATATTGGTTTATATATTTTGGGTTTTCATTCATCCTTAAAGTGTACGTATCAAATAAGGGGAATTTTTATCTATGAAATATATTTGTTAAAAATTCAAATCACATATCGCAAAGATAGTAAAAAAAATTATCATAATTACGATTGTATATTTAATCATTCTAATACAAAAAAGATATCTAAATGATGACTTTAGGAAGTTTGGTAAATTAAAATTGATCTTTTTTGTGTGTTTTTTTTCTACAGAAAATAATAGAAAATCATTAAATTTTTTCAGTTAATGCTTAAATTCGCTTTCTTATTTTTGCCTTAATTTTATCCTTTTTGATCTTTAGTTTCTCTGCTACATTTATGTATTTTCTTTTAATATACTATTTTTTTCCATATATTTGATATTTATCATGAGAGGTTCATTAAGAACTCATGCTCATCTATTTATTAGATTTCCATAGAGTTTTTCTTCACGAAGTCGAAAGTTGGGTGAAAAATGTGAGTAAGAAGTATGAGTTGAAAAGTCAGTTTAATGAGCTTTTTTTTCCTATTCAAATTCAATAGTCTTCATGTTTAAAAGTGTCTGCACGAAACTTCACGCCAGCAACTTTTCTATGAGTTTATCAAGATAGACTTTTTATCTAAATATCTTCTTTTTTTCTCTTCCTTCCTTCTAGACATGTGTTTAGAAGGGGCGCAAACACTCGGCGGAATTTATCTTATTGCTTAAAATACATTCCACAATGTCATATTGTGAGTTTCTTCACCTGCCAAAAATGACCATTTATAGAAAAAATGAAGACTTTCTTTTGAAAATATTTTATTGTTTTCTTCATCTTTGTTTTAAAAAATGCCTCTTTCTTCTCCTTCTTCTCTACAACTTTTTAATCCATCTTCTATGTCAATAAATATACAAAATCAGTCTATTTTTGTGTGAAATACTATGACAAAGTATGGGTAAAAATATGCTTTGGAATTGGGTTCTTGACGCATGACTTGAGTGTTTATATCGAAAAATAATTTTACAATATATACAAGTAAATATTTTTGTAGTAAAAAATAAGGAAAACATCTTTTGGTGAGATTTTCAAATATTTTTTTTTCATATTAATATATTTTATGTCATATTTGAGTTGTATAATTCATTATATCAAGTTCTTCATTTCTTTTTAGTGATATTGAGAAATTTTTTTTACTTTATACTTTTTTTGGCGTTCATATTTACAACAATTCTTATGTCAATAATTAACTCCTCTCCAACCAAATTCTATCTATTTGGGACAAATTATTTAAAAAAAAAATTCCACCCTCGCGACTTTCTTTCGCACACCAGATAAATTTATATGATTTCGCATATAATTTTGCTTATAAAGTTAAGAAATGTTAAGAGAAGAGGAACTTAACATCTAAATGTTCCTTCGCGCACTCAACTCCTTAATCTCTCACTCTAATCTTGTAAATGCTTAGGAAACCAATTAGTGAAATTCTGGAGACGTCGTTGTTCTGAGAATTGGTTTGAATTGTTACACTCACTTGTACCATTTCATTTCATGTCTTTTTCTCTCTCTTTAGCTCTTCAATTGCCCTCCCTGCATTTCTCCTTTTGTCCACTATATAGTCTCAAAGATGATTATTGAAGGTTTCTTTTTTGGAAGGGGTCGAAAGAAAGAAGGGCGTCGTGTCAGGAGAGAGGAATTCCATCTAAAATATGTGTAATAACCTTAAGATAATCCCCATTTTTTCTGATTGCCCGCACACAAAATTCCCTGCACATGAACACTTATACACAACGACTTAAATTGTAACGTCCTCTTTGTTCTCCGCCTCACTTCCATTCACCTCCACGGCAGCCGTAGGACTCACCTTGAACATGAAGTGCTCAGTCTGGTTCTCCTGCGGCGAGCTGCCACTCTGATAGCCCGGACTCGGCGACTCTGCATTCTCGGGAACGGGAGTGATGTTGGCATAGTTGACGGAGCCCGGCAGAAGGCTGCGGAATTGCGAAGCGGTCATCTTTGTCGGATCACCAGGGGCATTGATGCCCTGCTGGGTGAGACAGAGGATTGATCTGTCTATGTTCTGGTACTCCTTGCCAGATCTTGGACGCAACGTCGACGTTGGTGGACGAATTAATCTGTTACAAGTAGAGTTGTCATCTAATTACCGTACTTGAAGCTTCCCGAACGGATAACTAAACTCACCTCATTCCCTCCGGAGTGTCTGATGAACTGTGACTGGACAGTGACAGTGTCTCGATGTAGTCCGACATATCGGACGTGCCGCTGCTGGTGCTCCTGGAGTCAATGTAGGGCGGACCAGTGGAGACAACCTCGCCGGGACTGGCGAATCCCTTCACTTTGGGCGGACAGATGGGTATCTCGGCCTCTGCCGAGGTGCTCTTCTCCGGGATCTTGATCTTCTGGAACTGGAAGGTGAGCTCGCGCAGCGGATCGAAGGACTTGGAGCGCCGCGGCAGGGAGGCGTGAACGCAGCTGGTGGCCGGCAGGATATGTTTTTGGTGGCGGCGGGCGGACATGGCGGTGGTCAGTGGCAGCTCAAAGTCGACAAAGTCACCGGTGCGCTGTCGCAGCGATCCCGTGGAGACGCCCGAGTCATTTGAGCTCGAGGAGTCGCGATTCTGCGCCTTGCACGGCACACTCTCAGATCGTCGAATGTAGACAGATTGAGAGTTCTGACTCTGCGTCGTTGAGCCCGAAATATCATCCTCGGGCTCCGCAATGGCGGCCTTTTCGGTGCCCGCTGAGCTGGTGCTCGTGGAGGCTTTCACACAGCACGCAGTGTCTTCGCATTGTTCGGATTCCTGGTGGATGCACGGCGATGACGATCGACGACCCTCCAGCTGCGTCAGTGAGGACTTCCTCAGGGTCTCCGTGCTGTCGAACTCCTCAACCTCTTCCAGGAATCTCGATGAATCCGCCGAGGAGGATCGTTTTCGCGCCACGAGACGCTTGTCAATGTTGCCCGGAATGAGATCACTGTTGTCCATCAGTTGCTTCCTGGTGTAGGGACTCACGGCTGTTCTCATCATAGCACTTCCCGGAACTCTAGTGTCATCCTCCGATCGCTTCTTAGTCCTGTCAACTGACGGTCCGTTGAGACTCGGATTGCTGGCGGACTTCTCGCCGATGATTCGATTCATTCTCTGCTTGATCAGGTCGCTCTTGGTCGGAATTGGTGGAGTTGTGATTGCCTGCGGAGCTGCTGGTGACATTGGCAAGTATCCCGGGAATTCTCTTTGATCCTTCCTCGGCTCCATCATCACATAGTTCTCATTCTTCCCATCCTGCGGTGTCTTGACTTCTTGGCTGGGTGTTTTCGCTCCCTGATCACCCACCACCTTTCCCGTCGCATGACCACACTTGTGACACACTTTCGGGACCACAGTCTCACTTGATTCAGTCTCATTGCACAGCCCTGCCCGCTCCAGGACATTCTTGGAGTTCTCATAGTGCTCCAGGGACTGCGCAAAGTCCATGTTGGTGTAGTTGCCATCCGTGGGCTGATATCCCACCTCCTTCGCCGGATCGAGATTGATGTAGTTCGATGATCCAGACTCTGAGGCGTCATCGGGAATGCACTCACACTTCTCCACGATGCGTCGACTCATCTTCTTTGCCATGTCCACTGTTGCATAGATGGCAAGCTCTCCGCTGGGCTGCATCACGGGCATTTTGCCTTCTCCACTGAGCTTCACTCGGCTGATCGGTATTCCGGTGTTTTCGATGGTGTTCCCGCGCCGACAGTAGGGCAGGGAGATCCAGTTGTCTGCCCAGGACATCACTCTCGTGCAAGTGCAGTCAGTTCGCGCGACAGTTGAGTCTCCGGGCTTGGATCCGTCTGACTGCCCAAGGCAGCCGCACATCTTCCCCATCGTGGAGGGGATGTCGTAGTTGGCGTAGGAAGCAGAGCTGGGATTGCTATTCACGTCCGCGGAGAGGTACTCGTGGATCTTCTTGGGTGTGTCGTAGTTGTCGGAGTCTAGGGCGATCGGAGTGCGGGGCACGTCGTAGTTCTCATAGGGACCCGCGTGGGCACCGGCTGGGGAAGACAGAGGCAGCGGCATGGGTGGTTTCTGCAGGGACTTGGGTTTCGGCGGCCTGGGCGGTCCGCACTGAGCGCACGGCGAGGCCTTATCACCCCAGCACCCCTCCTGACCACCCACTGAGCTCCTGGGCACTGAGTACTCAGAGTTGCTACTGCTGCCCGTGTGCGATGAGCACAGGGACATCCGGTCGTGACCCTTGGCGGGCGCTGTTGGGGTGTGATACTCAGGAATGGTCCAAGCGGGCGCCGGGGCAAGTCCGGGCGTTCCCGCCGCGGTGGAGCTTCGAGACATCGACGGAGCGCCCAGTTTCGAGATGCAGCTCATGCACCTCTCGATCTGCGACATGGTTGCTCGTCCGCGAAACATCTCCCCGTCGCCCAGGCCATCGTGCGCCTCGGACACGGACACTGTGTCTCCGCAGCCGTAGTTGCTGTCCAGATCACGCGACTCTTGCGATGGCCAGAAGGACGTTCGGCTGCTGCACATGCAATTGCCCTCGTCGGCGTGAAAGTGATGATTCGCGGACAGACTCACGCCGTCCTCGACGGGTCTGGGTGAGAGCTTCCGCGGACTATCGAGGGCTGCAACGACATCAGACATATTGATTGATATCTCCCCACCAAAGCTCCAGAGCCACCGTAATAAATTGGCTGAGCGTGGCGGAGTGACACTCACCTGAGAGCTTTCGGGCGACAGGACGTCTTCTGGTTGCCAGCTTGCCTTGAGAGGCGACTTTGAGGGTGTGGGTGATTTCATCCCCCTGATCCGTCACCAGTATGTACAGTCCTTCGCCTTTGCCACACTGTGACCCACCCTCGAAGCAGAAGCGGTTGTCCACGACCCCGTAGCGCCTGCAAGGTGTTTATTGAGACAGTCACACAATTTTCCACCTGATGCGTCCCACCCTGTGCGCCCTGGGAGAGTGCGCCTCTCCTGGGCCGCTTTAATTAAGAAATTTCCACTTGCACGCGCTCGAGGAGCTCACCTCACTTGGGACTTTCTTATCGGGCACGAGGGGGTGGAAATTAATTGAAACAAACGATTAATTTCCATGTGACTGCACCCCTTCGTGATACGGTCAATGATAAATCAAAAGAACGCCAACCAGCCCCTTTCAAATGAACAGGGAGTTTCCGCTCAAATGGCTAAATATAACAAGAATAATCCCCATCATCAACATTGCGCTCCCCAATAAATTAAGATATGGTCTATTAGGTAAGGAATTACGGCATAGTGAGGGCTGCACAATGAAATGAGCCTCGTTTGCGCCTCGAGAATGCATGCAAGAGATTATTTCTCCACGGTAAGCGTCGACATATTACAGTGGCGAGCAAAGATGTGGTATTTATTCTTACAATTTTCCCTTTCCTTTCTTCTCCTAACGCAAGCGGAGTGGAGCAGAATTTTGCGCAAATGTTCAAAATAAAAATCACCGGCAAGATGCAAATTTTGCTCAACACTGTGCAATCTGCGGGTCTCGCTGCATGCCAAGTTCTTACAGCTTTAATATCATCCTTTGTAATCTTGCACATTATTTATCACAAAGCTCACCTTAAATGGCCAATTTCCCAGAGTCCGGCCAATCTCGGCGGGACGCCAGTTGTGAGACAAAATCGATGGTCTTGCACGTGCATCCTCGCCGGTCCTGTCGACACCTTCGCCTTGGGCGGTGCCGTCGACACCAGGATCAAGTACTGAATGTCGTCTCCGAGATTTGTAGAGATTTTCACCTGCAAAGGGAAGCGCACAGGTGAGAAGGGCGAGTGTGGCGAAAGAATGGGCCAAAGTGAACAAACCTGCCACTGAATTAAGCGTTCTCTCGTATCAAAAGCCAACACAACGATAACATCTTGACAAATAATGGCAATTGTGTTGGACTCCTTGTCCAATGTAAATCCAGACTCGACGCCCAGAAAGTGCTGCAGTGACAGAGAAGCCTTCGTCTGGCCGTGCTTGTATCGATCCTTCGAGTCTCGATACAACTGAAGGTGGAGGCAATCTGTGAATGGGGAAAAAGGGATAAGAATGAGGCTCAATGAGACAGACAGTAAATTTGGTAATTTTGGGTAACGAGAGACTCTTGCTCTCCTCGGAAGTCCCTTTCTGTTTCTTCCTCTGTCCCCGACAACTTGCACATTTATTTAATCATCCATCACGAAAACCACCCCCCCGCCATGGATGCGGAATGTTCCGCAAGTAAATTCCGTGCGACGGGATTTCGCCGGGAAAAGTTCCACAACTGGAGAGCCGCAGAGAAACATCATTTGCCACTAATTTAAATTAACTTAAGCGTCGCGAGTGACGCAACATCCGGTCCCTGTATCTAAATTGAGTTTCAAGTTTTCGTGTATTTTAACTTTATTTCCTCTCGCACGAGAACTTTGCATGCGACGTTCTGTCTGTTCTTCCAGGGATACTTTGCCATGCAGCAAAACCCTTTGGCGTTGAGCTGCAAGAATTTATTGGCAAAGACACCCCCAGTCTTTTAAGTAAGCTTTTGAGTATATCAAGACAGCTATGACAAAATTTACTGATTGTCTTTCGGAAGAACATGCATTCAGTGTCTTTAGTGTGCTTGTTAAAATCCTGAAAACCCATGTTAAATATTGCAATTTTGAAAAATGAATTAACAAGAAACAAATATTCGATGTTCATGAAAAGCAGTGAATAAAAGAATCCTGGTTTTCACTTCAACACATTTTCCAGTCTCTTCTTCTCTTGTCTTGATAATTTAATAATTGGATGATATACAAATATTCATGCCGCCCACAATTAAACACTTCCATCGTGTACAAAGCTCGCAAATCGTGCATCAAATGATCAATTTCCCTTACAGATGGCATCGACAATTCATTTGTACGCCCACCACAGAAGAGCACCCTCAGGTTGGAATTTATTTGAATATCATTATAAATTAGATGATTGCCATATTGAGTATTTTCTTTTCTATTCCTCCATGGAGAGAATGAATCTTCATAGACAAATAAGGCAATTTCCTCCCTCGCGAGGGTGCAAAATTTCATGCGAGGGCGCGCTCTTAAATCAATATTTGCATATTCACCGGGGATCCCCAATTCCCAATTGCTTCGCCATGGCATTTTCTCTGTAATGTTTTATTCAGTGATAAGGAGCAGATAGTCGTGAAGGATGAGAATTGAGCACTTTCTTCTGCACAATTGTGCCTGTAAAATTGATGACGAGTCCATGTATTTCAAGTTGCACAATCAAGATGTTTTGTATTCATATTAAATCACTGCAATGTCGACAGTGCTTTTGCAGAGCTTTGCAAACTCTTCTCGGGCAAGTTGGGATATATTCATGTGAAACATGATTTGGAGCATTGTGCTTCATTAAATGAGATAATCCAAGGGCTCTTTTATTGTACATCTCGCAGACACAGGCGTACAAATTCACTTTTGGGCAAATGAAGTTAATTGGCAAGTTTGTGCCAGACAACTTTTCTTGCCACTCAGAAATATCTGCGGGATTTCCCTCCATCTTCCACCCTCTGTTGTGTTATTGAATATTTTATTGTTATTTTGATACTCTTAGCGCTGAGACTCGCGTTTGCCCTCCAAATATTTGTCCGGGATTTATTTCCAATGAGTGCGCCAATGTCTTGTCGCCCTGCAACCAGAGATAAGAAAAAAAATTCACAGGGGGAGAGAAATCCCTTCCAATATCTCTCTCGGTTGACACTCCCAAGGATTAAGTGCACTTGAACATTTTCATTACATTTTCACGCCCTCCCTCGGGACTTTGTTTAGTCAACAGAGAGGCGCCAATTGAGTGGGAAACATCACAGATTTCTGTCACGATTTTCAATTGTTGCCGGAGAAATATTTGACCGGGAGTGTGTGTGTGTGAATGGCACGAGACAAATCCCAGGAAAAACTATAATGCTGCCATCAAACTGATTGATCGACGAGGAAGAACACCTTCTCAGTGCTCTTTAGGAGATTAATTCCCAAGGCGTTTTGATGCCATGCACAGTTCTACTTTAAAATCACCCCCTTTTCTACCACCGCGCAAAATCCCCACCCCTTAAGTGCAGCCCAGACAATGCCGAAAACACATAATTCACATTTAAATGAATTATGCGCCAAGACTTGGGGATTTTGGCGACTGTCTCGGTGGTATTTTTCCACACGTGCTAGCATTTTCCAATTAATTTCCCGCGCCTGTGACGCATTTTTGACCATTGGGGCGGCGTCACTAAAAAAAACGGAATTATACCCTCAAACCCCACGGGCAGATTGAGATTTATTCAAGTGTCCAGTGGAAATTATGGCCGTAATTCTCTCTAAAGGGGCGAAAAATGGAAAGTCAGAGGAAGTTACATCATAATAAATATTGCATGTGATATAAAGGAGAGAATTTATTTCGGGAAATCGTCTTCCCCACGACGTCCCAAAGGGAGCTTTCGCAGTCAACCAAAGGAAGGAACTCCAATGGAAGGCGCATCGGTCATTTCTTTCTGGTTGTAAATGTGTAGAAGAAGAAGCAAAAAAAAAGACCGGATTTCAAGTACTTAAACCTATGATTTCACCATTTTATTCCCCCCAACTCTGAAGCGCCTGTCTATCTTGCAGTCCCTCTTCTCATCCTTCCAGAGATGGTGCTGGCAAAAACGGAAAATATCTTACCACTTTCCACTCGAAGGAGAATTTTATGGCAAAAGAGTGACTGTAACATTTTCACAGAAGTAAACTCTCAATGTTGCAATTTTGAGACATCTGTCTCTCATATCCCCGAGGGAGGAGAGCGAATGCATCGCGTTCTTTTCACCCAAGGAAGTTGATAGTGAAAGAGAAAGTTCTAGAGATGGACTTGGTGTGTGTGTGTGTGTGCAAAAAGGGGGCGGAAATTCCGACAATTTCATCAAATGGATTCGGACACGGGATTTTCTTCTGAACATCACTTTTCACGTGAATTGCAGAAAAATCCTCCCTTTCGGCCATTGACAACACTTTATTCTCCCTCAGCAGCCAAAAATCTTCAAGGAGAGAACCACGCTCGACTTGATAGTCTCTCATTGCTTCAATAAAAAGTTGTGGAAAACGGTTTGTGTTTTTTTTTTATCTTCTTCTTCTTTTATCCTGCAACTTCCTTGCATTGGGGGAAAATTTTGCGGAGAATTTCTCACGTAATCCCTTTTATGGCACTCCGCAAGATCTCACACCCAAACCATTTTCCATTCCCGACTGAATCCAATATATCGCACACGGAGCTTTTGGGATTTCAGTCGGTGCAAAAGCCACAGAATCCAGACTATAACTCTGGAAGCAGCGAGCTTTTTTCTCCGCGTGTATGTAATGAAATAATCTTTGAGTGAGCAAATTGTTGCGCTACATATTGGTTGCCAAGAACAAAGGTTGAGATTTCCTTAATAGGTGGAATTTCAATCCAATTTTATCTAATATTGTTTGACTTAATCTTTGTCAATTTTTACTTATTTAGGAAGATTTGATGAGACATTAAGGAAACTCTATACACAATTAATATATGCTAGCAAATTTAGAATTCACCTGCAGCACAGCTGGCTTAATGATGGAAATTCAATTAGTAATTCCAACCCTTATTTCAGACATTTTGTATTTAAAGTGAAATTATGGCGCATGATGAATACTGGCAAACCATTGGATTATTTAGCAGATAAATTGCAATTTTCTGTAGATTTGCAAGAATTTTCCACCCTCCAGTGTTGAAGCGCAATTTAGCCAAAGGCCAAATGATAAACCGTAATGAGTATTACATTAAGGGATAGTGGAACATTTGAGCTCCACAGTCCAATTAAATTGTAATTCTGACTGGGAAAATACAGAGTATATAGCATTGCTCTGATGACCATTGAGAGAGCATCTAGACATTTGTGTGCGTCTTTCGATGAGGGAAAGACAACACACACACAGGGAGTGGAAATTTCTGATTTATGGCCAAACTAATGAACTGCGAAGCGTCATCCGTAATTCTTGAGAGCTGTGTGCCAGGAGGAAATCCCACCCACAAATCGTCGTTTTCAATTGTCGACAGTCCCCATTGATTTATGCCCCTTCGAGACGCATTTTCATCCCTTCACAATCGATCGGTAATCTGCATCCCTCCTCATCCCTCGTATGCCAAGAAATTAAGTCCGGAATGGCCAAAGAGAGGAAGTGAACGGTGAGCACAAAGTTGAACATTTTGCGGATGAAGATGAGTAAAAATGGCTAAGAGTTTTTTTCTTTCTCGTGACACAGAGACAAACATTAATCAAGCTGATTAAGATGAAAATTAATTTTCTTTAATTAAGCAACCCCACCCACAAGAACGTCGACCGTCTCAGCTTCATAATTAGAGGGAGAGAGAGTGTGAGGGAGATGATTATCCTTTTTTCTTCGGTCTTGGGTCGCTGAAAGCAAGATGCCCGGCGAGATTTCTTTCATGTTCGCATGCTTCACGCTCATTGCGTCCTTGTTCCACCGTCGCACAGCGTCACATGAAAAGCTCAGGCACGAGCTTTTGCCCGTGAGGATGGGCCGGAGGTCCTCAGTGGAGCATGGTGAATCAGCCAGGACATGACAAATCACCTTAATTTCGTATTCCGTTGGAAAAATTCCATTGCATATTAAACGGAATTTTCTTGCGACCGAGAGAGGAATTATTACGGAAAACCAAGGGAAAGATGGTGAGATTGTGCGGCGAAAAGAAAAAAAAACTCTTGGCTGGACCACGATTCTCCGTACACTTCAATCTGCAATGAGCCCGCCTTGTGCACACAGCTTTCGTGACTCTTGTCAACGTCCTAATTAAAATGTACATAAATACATCGTGCTAAAAAAAAATCTGTGTCAGTGAATTCAAGGAGTATTTATACTATGGCATTTTATCCTCGAACAGGCAAATTGCGAAATGACCTCAAAAGCCATGCTTTTCCCTAGAGAAATAATTTCCAATTTGTCCTCCATCAGTGCTCAGGATCTTAGAAGCTTTGCCGAGTGAGAGAATCTTTTAAGAGAG